AGGGAGACGCTGTGTGTTTCTAGGCGAAAGCAAAAGCACTTTATTTGGCCTTCCGAAAGTAGATGCATTTAGGAATCTTTTTTGTGTGTGTGTGAGAGAGAGAGAGAGAGAGAGAGACACATCACAGTGGAGTCAGGTGTCTTAACCGTGGCTTGTGTACTGCAAACACATATTCATCGCCGTGTCTGTCATGCGACTCTGTTCCCCTTTCGGGCTCTGTCTTTACATTTATTTTGAAAGATGAAGCTCGCGATTATGGTAAAGAGTGCTTGCGGTGTTCGGCCAATCACAATGCACTGGGTCAGCTGGCCAATCAGAGCAGACTGCACTTATCGGAGAGAGAGAGGCAGGGCATAGAGGACCTACAATAACGTACAGTATTTGAAAAATAATGTGTTTTTTGAACATTAAAGCATGTCAACATATTCTGTTACACCAAATACACAAAATTATGATCTTTAAAAAAAGCATCATATGACCCCTTTAAAGTTCATAAGTTCAGCGCTGCTTTGTTTACAGCGGAAACCAAGAAACGCTTAAAGCGCCACCTGCTGGCAGAGAGTGAATCTGCATCTCATTCAACTTTGCTGTTTCATGCAGATATTTTTATTTATAGTTTCACAAAACTGAAGTCAAACCATTCTGTTTTTGCTTCAAATTTCGAAACTATACAATCTAATTTAGTTTAAAAACTGCTCATGTTGCATGTATGCAGCATCTTTGTATGTGTTACTTATTTATTTGATTTGGGGCTTGTTTTAAAATTTCAATTTAGTTTTATTTACATTTACATTATATTTAAATTTTGTAATTTAGCAGACACTTTTATCCAAAGCGATTTACAAATGAGGACAATAGAAGCAATCAAAACCAACAAAAGAGCAGTAATATGCAAGTGCTATATTAGTATATTATTATAGTATTATATTTCAATTTCACAAAGAAATGTGCAGCATTTTGTCCAAGCAATAATATAAGGACACATTTAATTTATAATGTGTCTTAAATCTCATTTTGTTAAAAAAAAATATTATAATCGTGAATTGAATCGAATCGTGAGTTGAGTGAATCGTTACATCCCTAATTTATACTGTTGAAAACTTGCCAAACTTTTATGTGGAAGGTCTGTGACCCCTGTTCAGCATTACCTAATTACCGGTATCAGTTTCACTAAATCATTTATTAGTGTTGCTTAGTAACGCACAGTCGTTGGACCCACCAAAAGACATGAGTAATTTCACACAGGCAGAGCCAGCGTTTCAGTGAGTGTGCTGACCACAGCTTAGACTGACAGTCTCAGAATACACCGAATAGAGCTGAAACACTGAACCACAGATCTAGAATTCTGAGTCAGCTCAAATTGAAGGACTGCATAACTTTGGATCTGTAATACTACTTATACTCGGGCTGTTTTTTTTCCAGATTTGTTCAGCCGTGCTCTGGAGAACCACTTTAAAACCCAGCAGAGTACTGTATTTGTAAAGAGCAAAATTAATACAAGTTAGCAAGGAGACATTAAATTAATCAAAAGTGACAGTCATTTATACTGTTACAAAAAGTTTATATTTTTTATATTTTAACTTTCGGTTCACCAAAGAAACCTGAAAAAAATGTTTAGCCATTTCCACAAAAATATTAAGCAGCTCAACTGTTTTTAATATTGATTAAAAGATGAAATGTTTGAAGACTGAAAATTTGGCTGCTGAAAATTCAGCTTTGCCAAAATATATAAAGAAAAAATATATAATGAAATAGAAAACTTAAAAAACAAACAACTGTTCTATTTGAATATCATTTTACTGTATTTTGAGTCATATAAATGCAGCCTTGGTAAGCATAAGAGACTTTGTTGAAGGAGAACTAGCAGCTCCATGCCAGTGGAAATGCCATCATTTCTCATTCTAAAGCATTTTAAATGGGTGGTCTCATTTTTCTAAGGGCTCAGTGTTTCTGTGTTTGTGGGTGTGTGTGTGTTTAAAGCATACATGGTGTGTATTTGTAAGCCGGCAAAAATGTAGCCACAGCTGGAGCTCCTTCAGGTTCGCCGAGATTGGCAAGAGGAAACGCGTCATTTGAAACAGCAGCACTTGGAAAATAGAAGACAAAATTGGGGTGTGTGTAAGAATGTCTGTGTCTTTGTGACTGGGTGTATGAACCACACAGAACATCGTGAAGAAAGCATAAGCCATGGATTAGTAAATTTTTTAGCTACGAAAACCCTTGATGCATAGTTTCCATGCCTGTTTACTCTCTCTTTCCATACCTTAATCCCTACCGACCCATATTCTCTCTTTCTGACTCCGTCTCCAATCTGCCTTCAGTGTAGTGTGTCTGTAATAATAACAAATTTACAGTATTCTTTAAATGTATTTTACTCCATCTGTCTTATCATTAAAGTAAGGAAAGAATTCAAGTGAACAGAATTCTCCTAGAATAATAATAAGCACAAACTGTGTTTCTGAATGAAGTTACTGGGTTTGATGTGTGATATCTTAATTCTCAAATTTTCTTTTCTACAGAAAAGGCAAAAAGCCCATCTTGATTCTCCGTACGCAGCTCTCAGTACGGGTTCATTCCATCCTAGGTAAGAGTGTACGCACTGTAATACTCTATGATGAGCATATGACTGATTTGCATGCTTATTTCATAAACATTTGTATCTGTATTGCTGAGGTGGCAAGTACGTCATTCCTGGCTTTCCATTCTGGCTGTTGGTTTAGTTTGTCTTGGAGAAGGCAAAAATGGACCACGTTCTCCAAAAATGCTGAAATGGTATTATCCCTGTATAGTTTTTTCCCCTCAGTTGGGAACTTTCCAACTATATCCTCATAATCCTCAGTGACAACTTCAGGTTCAGCTGGCCTTTCATTGTAACATGGATCTGTTAAAGTAATGAACATAAGAGTTCCCCACTTAAAGGTGCACTAAGCAATATTTGAAAAAACGCTTTTGACCACAGTGTCGGACTGAGTCCCAAAACACACTTGTAGCCAATCAGCAGTATGGGGGCGTATCTTGTAATGATAGAGAGAAGAGCACGCTCAATTTGAGTGCACAGGACGGATATTAGCAGATCGACTATAGATAGAGAGAGATTACGGATAAAAAAAGAGGAAAATATCAGAGAAACAAAACATTAAAAATAAGGGTTACGATCAGGCAAGAGGTAGGACCAGCGTAAATATCGAAGCAGATTTCCAGCGGTGGTGAGAACTCAAGAAGCGGGAAGGCCTGGAATCGGACACCGAGGTTGTGTTGTTTTTTCTTCTTGATAGGTGCATAACATTGATTTTGCTTTGTTTCACACAACTTATCCGTGTTGGCTTTTGTTTGAATATGCTGTGTGTCATCTTCACTTGTTTCTGCGATTGTCTTTGCCATGGTTGTGTACGTACGCGTGGGGCGGAGATTTCAAAATAGGGGCAAAGTCCTGTTGGGCTATGGGCGTTTGTTTTGGTGCTGTCAAATATCGACATCGTTTGGCAAAAATCGCTTGGTGCACCTTTAATAGTTAAACTACAATTGGTTCAAGTCATGGACTGAACTGCCTTCGTTTTTATTTTGTGCTGTTCTCTGAGGTCCACTTGTAATGTTATCAAGATTTTTATTTAAAAAAAACATAATTTAGAAGTAATAGGCTATTTTCTGTTCTGTTTTAACCCCCCTCATCAGAACTCTATGTTTGAATAGGCGTGGCGGATTGTCGACTCAGCAGTAAGCGCCCACTGCTATGATTGGCTAACAATTGTGCGTGTTTGATAGCCTACAGCCTTCACAGATGGACGCTGCTGTGGTTAAGGTTAAAAATGCATAAATACTTCGTACATATCAAACGATCTGTTTAACAGACAAAGCAGTAGTGACACACTTGTGTTGTGACATTACTGTTGGATCTAATAAAGCCGGCACAGCATTGTCTTTTAGTTTCAATGTCTTTGAAAATTCTGTGTCCAATTGTGCCTTGTTTGTAAACAAATCCATGGTAAAATGAAATGACGTGAAAGTGCGGTCTGTATCTTTATTAAAAAATAAAGTTCATTCACTTTCCTGACGTTGGGATCAGAAGGAAGGCAATGCAAAAACTGTGTTTTTCCACAACTTGGCACTGCACAGCATCGTGTTGTCTTCAGAGCCATCTTTATCGTTTGGTTTCTGTGTAGACCTGCATCTCATCAACACTACATGCTCGAATCAATGGCCTGGCTAAACGGGCAGCGATGTGGAAGCAGGCGTTGATCTTATTCTGCGGAGGCGGTGTTTAGCCATACTATTACATAATAGAGTTGTACATTCCACAAACTGTTGTTTTAGCAGATTGGCTTCAATGTAAGCTGTTTTTAGACTGACAAGAAAGTTTTGAGTTCTGAAAGTTACAGGATCTTTTGTAAAACTTTTGTTCTGAAACTTACATTGACCTCTTATATGTCAAAAGTTTTGATTTCTCAGTTCATGACCCCTGTAAACAACTCTTGTGCAGCTACTCTGACCATTAAGCTGTTGTTGAGTGAATTAAAATGGTGAAAGATAACAATAACAGTCCAGATATTCTTCACTCTCCTTCAGTTAGTTTTTGGTTCAGCTAGACTTGATAAATATAAGTTAAGGACAAAACATCTCCCATTACTCTCTTTAATGACCAAGCCAAAGTAGCTTGACTAGATTATGCTAATAACAAAGACTAAGTCCATGGTCCAGTTTTGGCACCAGATGTGTCCAAAACTTCTTTCCAGTCCTGTTAAATGCATAATCCCCTTCACAAATGTATATACTTAGAAAAACGTTAATACTCAAATAGCATATCTAAATGGCTAAAATAAAATCTAATTTCTGATGTCCAGGGTTTAGTTACAAAGTTACCTTTGTGAGGGTTTCCTCTCCACATATTTAGAAAGTGCAGAATGAATGGCACCCCATCAATATGACCAAACCAGAACACTCCATTTATAATCAACATGTCCATCTGCACTGCAAGTTTCAGGTATACACAATTTCATGTGATGATATAAACATTTAATTGTTCACTTTATTTAACTAAATTTATTTTTATTATTTATTTAAATTATTATAGTTTTTGTTGTTGTTTATTTGCGGCTTTTAAAATGTTGCCACAACTTGCCAGGGCCTAGTCACGCCCCTGTGATTAGCTGTCATTTTCATTCGTATTGTGTGACATATAGAGAACAGATGAGAAGGTGGAAATGAGGACTATGGAAACCTAGTGATACCCTCTGTGTATACACTATGAATGAACACCTGTCTCTCCTCCATCCTGTCTGTGAATGGATGTCTTGCATTATATTATGCTGATGTATTTTTCTACTGATGGGAAATGTTTGAATGGATGTTGGTTTTTGTGTGTGTGTGTGTTCGAGTGACACAAAGGGAATAACATACCTCAAGACAGGACAGACCGGTCCAGCCCTGGGGTTTCTGGGTCACTGTGATACACACCTCTGATGGTGTGCTGAATCTTTGGTGCTGCTTATGTGGTCATGCACAATAGATAATGATTTAGTAGTTTTGCACAGTAGTTTATTTCTGAACTACTGTCTTGTAGTAATTGAGGTAATGCTGAGTCCTTGTAATTGTGTTGTCAGGAATGTCATGTGGAATGTTTACTTTCTTTGTGTCTCTGCGTGGTGTTGCTCTTTTCAGATCTGAGATATTTTCCTCTATATTGACCACTTGAAATGCATGAAAAAATGAAAATATTGGCAGTATGTTTTTTGTTTTTTTCTCTTTCTTGAAATGTAATCGCATTTGGATCAGTTTGAATCAAAGAGCACAGCAATCAACCCCCACAGAGGTATTGTCTGGCATACTGTTATTAATTAAGTCAAACTATGCTCGCACTTTCACTCATTTGTTACAAACAAGTGGCCAGGCTCCGTTCCAGTGCTCGCTGTGACTGCATGGTCACATGACTTTGGCTCTTGAACATGAGCCACCAGCGCTCTATTGATGCTGTCAGTGCCAGCTGGCCCAGCCAATCAGATACAAGTAAAAATATTGGCTGATTTTACTGAGATCCAGCATTTTAGTGAAGCCATTGATATTAGTCATGGCTGTTTATTATTTTATCTGTTGGAACTGGAACGCTTGTCACTTAGCTAATATCCATGTCTAGTGAAGTGGTTAATTTTACATTAAGTTGCCCTGTCTTCAAAATAATGCATGATCTTTTATTGTAACTATGCATATTAATAGGTCTTTAGGGTTTACGTGCTCCTCCTCCAGTGACGTTTTTTAATTTGTTCTTAGCTGAATCATAGCTTGCTTTTCCCCAATTGCACAATTCACATTTTAAGTGTGAATTGAACTTTTTGGGCTTTTTTTATATCGCTTTGTTCTTCCTGATATCCAGCAAGTTCAATCATTTTCTGTATGAGAACACTGTGTTCCTTTCCATTCAGTATCAAGTGTGTCCTCTGTTGCTCTCTGCTGCAGACATAATTTATGGAAATTAAAGAATCTGCTGAGTTACTTCCCGAGTACTGAAGGAGTGTGTAAAATATGTATATATATCCATTCAGGGAAAAAAGACTACTGGCTTTGCAATTTATACTGCAATATCTAATGTACACATTGTGGCTCAAATAAGTGCTTCTGTAAACTTTGATAACAACCACAGTCTCTATCCCTGTTTTAGATGGCATTTATCGCCTTCTGTTTTCCTGTTGTTTTAGAAATAAGCTGATGCTGCATCCTTTGACTTATTGTCATATGAATCATAAAAAAACTTTTTTTAATGGCAAACCAAGTTTTAATATAGGGATATTATATCTAAAGATATAATGATTCACTCAACTCGCGATTCGATTCACGATTTTGATTTCACGATTCGATTTGATTCTTTTTTAAAATTTTTTTTTTTTAATGAGATATAAGACAAATTATAAACTAAATGTGTCGTTTTTTTTATTGCTTGGACAAAATGCTGCATGTTTCTTTGTGAAACTGAAATATAACACTATGGTAATATACTAATATAGCTTATAATATACAGTGGGTACGGAAAGTATTCAGACCCCCTTAAATTTTTCAGTCTTTGTTATATTACAGCCATTTGCTAAAATCATTTAAGTTATTTTTTTTTCCTCATTAATGTACACACAACACCCCATATTGACAGAAAAACACAGAATTGTTGACATTTTTGCAGATTTATTAAAAAAGAAAAACTGAAATATCACATGGTCCTAAGTATTCAGACCCTTTGCTGTGACACTCATATATTTAACTCAGGTGCTGTCCATATTGATGCACTTTTGTTGGTTTTGATTGCTTCTATTGTCCTCATTTGTAAGTCGCTTTGGATAAAAGCGTCTGCTAGTGCTAAATAACTAAATGTAAATGTAAATAACAAAACTAAATTGAAATTTTAAAACAAACCCCAAATCAAATAAATAAGTAACACAAATAAAAGAAATATCTTCATATAAACAAAAGACTTTGTCTGTGCTCTTTCCATTTAAAATTAGAGACAACCACTGCATTTTAATCATGGTTCAAACAAAGGTGCTGCATACATTCAACATGAGCATTTTTTTATCTAAATTAGTATAATTTAGAAATTTGAAGCAA